TTCTTGTATCAAGGATGACCAGTGTCTCTGTGTCTCTGTCTGTGTGTGTTTAAATCTCCAGCCCCTTTCCCGGCTCACAAACCATCCCGTAGTGCAGGTGCTACACCCACTGAGTTTTCTAGTAATAATTTCAGAACCTAGATGACTAGAGATGTCTGTACTGGTTAGACCCATTCCATGTTAGTTCTCTGGTTAGGGTTCAAATGCCATGCCTGCCAGGGACAAAATATAGATATGGAGATTTCACTATAGCTGTTGTGGACTAGAGCAGGGCTCTTCAAATGGTCCCCAGAGCATGCAAATATTCTAGCACACATGCTAAGAGGACTTCTTGGTTGGACAAGTCCCTTTAGATGATCCTGGATTGTCACAGTGATCCTGGGTTCACAAAGGTGCTCTTAAGAGGGAGGCAGTAGACTTAGAAGGGGATTTAAGGATAAGATATGTGTTAGAAAATGCTGTACTGCTGGCTTTGAAGCTGGAGAATTGGGCCACTGGCTGAGGAGTGTAGGTGACCTTCATTCAGAAGCTGGAAAAGGCAAGGGATAAAATTCTACAGAACCCTCAAAACGAACCCAGGTCTTCCCACACTTTTTAGACTTCTGACATCCAGAAGAGTAAGATGGTAAATTTGTGCTGCTAATAAACGACAGACTTGGTGGTTATTTGTTCCAGCAGCAATAGGAAGCTATCTGCTTCTATCTGCCTTCCTGCTCTACCTTCCACACTGCTGATTCTTACAAGTCCAGAGTAGGAGCTTCTGTATTTGTTTCTTCAGCTTGGGTCATCTTTACACAGCCCTGTTTAGCAGGAACATTTACCATCGGCGCTCCTTAGCACCTTCTCACAGCCCCTACATTCTCTGTGTTCATTTGAAATTATCAATATATAGCCAGCTGTGTTACTTTTCTCATTGCTGTGACAGGATTCCAGACAGAAGTTGCTCAGGGAAGAGAGGTTTCATTTTAGCTCAAAGTTGGAAGGGATCCCATCCATCCTAGCAGGGACACATGACTGTGGGAGTGTGAGCTGGCTGGTTACACTGTCCTCTCAGTTAGGAAGTGGGAGCGGGGAGAGAGGAATGCCAGTGCTCAGCTCACCTTCTCCTTCCCCACTTTTTATTCAGTTTGGTACTGTCCCATAGAATTGCTGGTCTTTTCCACTTCCCAAGAAAATCTGAGTTTTATCCAAATTTCAAAACATTAGGTCAAATTTCAAAGAAAAAAATCTGAGTAAGCTCAATAAAATATTTTGATGGCCTGTTGTTGGTACTCCTTTGCAACTTCTGACGAGAAGAGCCATTGCAGGGGAACTGAACAGAGGATGCATGTGAGGACAGGAAGGCTGACAGGGAGGACAAGGAAAGGGGTGTCTGGAGTCATGGTAGAGCAGCAATGCTAAGTGCCGAAAACTGCACAGTGCTTTTTACTCATGTGCAGCCCCTGGTTAACAGTAATCAAATTCTGTATTTGAGGTTCACGTATGAGTTTACTTGGGTTAATTTAATGAGTCAGTCTCCTGAGTTTGTAGTTTGAATAACAAGGCCAAGATGACATGGTTTAAATGCACTAAACTGTTTATAAATATGATTTCAAAGCTTTAATAGACTCATTTGGTCTTTTTTGTTTGCTTTTTGAGACAGGGTTTCTCTGTGAAACAAGTAATCCTGGCTGTCCTGGAATCACTCTGTAGATCAGGCCAGTCTTGCCTCTGCCTCCCAAGAGCTGGGATTAAAGGTGTGCACCACCACCGCCTGGCTGACTTAATTGGTCTTTATGAACACCCATGTCTTACTTCTATTAGGACACATTTGTACAAGCTGCTCTGGGCCTTATTCTGCATTCTTTTTGTTTGTTTTTTTTCTCGAGACAGGGTTTCTCTGTGGCTTTGGAGCCTGTCCTGGTGCTAGCTCTTGTAGACCAGGCTGACATCGAACTCACAGAGATCCGCCTGCCTCTGCCTCCTGAGTGCTGGGATTAAAGGCGTGTGCCACCATCACTCGGTTCTGATTTTTTTTAAAAAAAATATGTAGGGGTGAATATTTAATACAAATTATTTTGATTTTAGAAAGATTCTAACAAAATCTTCCCTTTCTTTTCCTCCTTCCAAGTCCTCCCACATGCCCTTTTCTGCTCCTCTTCAAAACCACGGCCTCAATTTTTCACTAATTGTTACCATATGAATATATGCATATAACACACACACATACATATCTTATTTGGTCTACATGTTACTTGCATGTACATTTTCAGAGCTGAGTATTTGGCACCGGGACAACCAATTTGCATGTTCTTCCCCGGGAAAACCACCTCTTCCTGTTTCCAGCTTTCCTCAGCCACCTATAGCTCTTTGTGCAGCACTCAGACTTTGTGAGCATCTCTGTCCAGTTTGGCACGTCCATCGGTGTCATCCTGCTCAGGGCAGTCACTGTGAGACCGTGGGTGTAGTGTCTGATATTACAATCTCACAGTCAAAACCAGATCCTCCGGCTCTTACAATCATTCTGCCTGCTCTTTTGCAGTGTTCCCAAAGCCTTAGGTGTGTTTTTGCAGATGTATCCATTGAGAATGGGCTCTACTGTTGAACTCTAGTGTCCAAACCAAGAAGGAGTCGCCCCCAGAGACCACCTAATATACCACAGCCAATGCAAAAGCATGAGGATTTTATTAATTCTGTCATGACAGGGTCCCCCAGCATTCGGGAAGCCAAGAGACCTCGAATAGCTGGTACAGTCTACTTTTAAAGGAAAGGCCCCATAGAAAAAAACAAGAGGGTTTGTTCCTTGACCATTATGATTGGCTTATTCGAAAAGGGCTAATACCAATAATTGGCTGGAGAACTACTGTCAGATCAGATGAAGTAAGAGTGTAACATGATGGGCCTGCTTGTTGGGATATCTGTCCCACCTGGTACCCCACAGCCGGCAACTCCCAAGGAAAATCAACCACACAGAGATCTCTATAAGTTATAAAGCTGATTGGCCCATTAGCTCAGGCTTCTTGTTAACTCTTATAGTTTATATTAACCCATTATTCTGATCTATGTTAGCCACATGGCTTGGTACCTTTTTAGCTGACAGCTTACATGTTGCCTCTTCGGTGGTCTGCGCAGGAGTGGCAGAGGGAGCTTCTGCTTCCAGAATACTCCCAGTCTCTTTGCTCCACCCTTACTTCCTGTCTGGCTTTCCTGCCTATATTGCCTGCCTGGCCAATCAGCGTTTTATTAAAATGATTGACAGAATACAGACAATTCTCCCATACCATAAGAGGTCATTTTGACCCCATTTCAAAACATACGTGTATGGGTAATTGTTCAGGAACTGAGTACGTGCATGTGTAACTGTTAGTTCCTTGGTTTCCAGGGAAAAAGGGGAAGCACTAAGGCACAGAGGCTGAGAGGGTTTGGAATTGTCAGAAATGGCTTCAGAATTGTCTTAAAGTCTTACAGTACAACCCTGCAGTTTGACTGGTTGTGGTTTTCTGAAGTAAAAAGTATTTTCAAAACTAGGGGTTTGGGAGTTTTGCTGAGAAGCTGCATATACTCATATAGTCAAGGCAGCTGGTGGAACTGCCAGAACTCTCAAGCCTTCCTCTGCTCAGACAATCATTTTTACTTTCTTTCTTTTCCCTCAGAGACAGGGTTTCTCAGTGTAGTTATGACTGTCTTAGAACTAACTTTGTAGACCAGACTGGCCTCAACTCAGCGATCCACCTGCCACCATGCTCCTAAACAAAACAATTAAGATCTAACGTGGTAAACTCTAGTTGGAAAAGTACAGGTTCCCATGGAAACAGAAACAGGTTTCCAACAGGCTTGGCTGGAGAGGGAAGTCTGTAAACCTTCCCAGAGGAAGTGGTATCTTTAGTGAGAGTAAAACATTAACTACATTTCAATTCCAGGTGAGGGTCAGACTGAGAGAAGAGACTCAGAACTGAAGAGGGAGGATCTGAGGATGGAAATAAATTCAGTTGGGCTATAAGGTACAGAAGAGCATTCTAGTGTACTTTCATGGGTGGCAACTGTCACTTTCTATCATTGGCTTGCTATTATTATGGCTTCTATCCTTACTGCCCTGCTCGTTTATCCCTCAGTGCCTGGCACCAGATTCTATTGATCCTTTTAGAGGGTCCAACAAATAGCCTCCTATTCTAAGAGCTTCTCTGATCACCCCCCCCCTTCACCATATCCCCATCAACCAAAAGACAAAACTCAACTTCTGCATGGTAAATATTCTTGCTTCTGTGAATCTGCCAGTCATCTCCTCACCCCATTCCCACACTGCAAGCTAATATTCTTTCAGCTCCCTCCCCTGCTGGTCCTTTCTTCAGCATCAATTATGTACAGGGTTACTTTCTTTTTTCTTTTCTTTTTTTCAAGAAAAAGATCCCATCTGCAAATTATCCTCTAACCTCAGCACGGTTGTTATGGCGTGCCTGCACTACGAAGTTAACAATAAATAAAAAAATAAACTTTACACATACGCTCGATTTAGAACACTGTCTCTATTCGCGATTTTTTTTTTTTTTCCTTTCAGTCTCTGCTGGTACCATACTCAGTCGTCCTAAAACAGTTTCTAATCCGATTATCCTCAGGTTGGGCCAAATGCTTCTTCTCAATTCTGCAGTCCCAACACTAGGGCACTGCTCTTCATTTTAACGTGAGCAGATTGCAAATCTGAGCTCCCGAGGAGCCGTGGCGCAAACAAGTGTCCCGACCAGCAGATTTTGTTCTTTTCTGAGTCGAGACGCTCGGCCCACGCGGCTACCGCAGTTCTTTTAAGGAGCAGCTTCCTTCCCGCCCCAGGAAGTAGAATCCGCTCGCCTCGAACGCCGGTTGGCTCGAGAAAAAAAATGCCTGAACTATCAGTTGGCCTTGAAAGTCCGGTCAAGGAGATTCCCTAAATTCCCCAGCCGGGTAACGTGACCAGACGCAGCAGTTCACCGGAAGACGGGAGGAGTGGGCGGGGCGTGCGACGCGACGTGACGCGGAAGTCACGCTGGGCGGCGCGACTGAGTTCTTGATTTCGGCACTCGGCTCTTCAGTCTGGCTGGTCTCTGGCGGGCTCCGCTGCGATCTGCTCTTTCGGTGCTCGACTCACCCGCGCTGCTGCCTCCGCTGAAGGAGGAGCAAAGCTCAAGATGGCCGACAAAACGCCAGGCGGATCTCAGAAGGCCAGTTCAAAGGTAGTTTCTTAGAGATCTCCGTCAGTCTTCGGGTCTTTCCCTATGCTCTGGGCCCCCCAGAAATCTGTGGCCTTCGAGAGCTCTTTGGGGCGAGGGTCTAAGGCCTGGTCGCCACGGTGGGCCTGGCACCGCTGCACCAAGGTGCGCAGGTTGAGAGGCCTGAGAGCGCGCGTCCGTCCCGGCCGGGATCCAGTCCCACACTAACGTGCCTGGGGCCGGTGGCGAGCGGTTCTCACTCCTCTTTTGGCTTCGAGGGGCTCAGACAAGCGGTTGAGATATCGGTTCGGTGTCCTTGTGTCGCAGCTTGCTGCGCTTGGAGGCTGCGGGCTAGAGCCTGGGAGAGGCGGGAATGTTCCCGATCTTAAGTGTCTGTTCCTCTCCTTCATCCCAACCTTCTTTATTTTGGGTCTCACTTGCTCTTGGCCTTACTCAGTGTCTCTCATACCTTGGAGGAAATTAGCCAACACGGTCGCAAGTGTGGGAGAGGCCCGCTCGTGGAGGACTTCGGGGTGGGACGTGCGGAGGGAGCCGCTCTCTGTGCCTCGGGGTTCCACATGTGGCTTTTCCATCACTTCTCAGGAAGTGAAAAGTGAGCACTACTCTTGAGGACCGCAGACTTGGGGTCTCCATCGCTGTGTGGGGTTTCTGCTGAGAAGGAAAACTACCGTAGAACTGGAAAGTGCCCAATGAATAGTACCTCGCATTTGAGTTTACCGTGAGCCCAGTGCACTGCTGGGGAAACGGTTGAGCTGTGAAAGTCGTTTGTTAGGAAAACTGTGTCATATCTGGTATTAGTTGCCATCTTGGCCAGGGCCTTTAATCGTTTTTTTTTTTATTCTGTATTACTTTGCTTTGAGATTCTTACCCCCAATTTAGCAGTAAGTACTGCCATAAACCAGTTAGTGATTTATGCACAGATACCAAGTTGGGTAACACTTAAAAAAGTCTAGTGACTTAAAAGTGTATGATTATCAATTACCAGGTCATTAAGTTTACAGAAAAGAGAGTCTTGCATTTGCTGTTTCATTTGAGAAACAACACTTGTTTCTAGTAAGACTGAAGTTTTTTTTTTGCCATTTCGCAGAATGACTGCCCCATGTTTACTTTGCAAATAGCAATGGCCTTACTAGACGTTCTTTAGTTAGGTGAAACTATGGTGGGGGACAGTTTTGGGTGTCTTACACCAAACCTTTACTGTAAGTTAGTTTCCTTTCTCTCAAGTAGATTTCCCCTCCTCACATTTCTTGGGGAGAAGGTGAAGAAAGGGGTACCTCATGCTGCCAGCCTTCATTCAGACCCATGACAAAAATATCTCATTCTATTGGTGGGCTGTTATTAAAGCCAGCCTCTTCCATAAACACTATGTTTTTTTCTTCTCAGAGTATTAAGTATCCCCCATTTGAGGCCTAGATATATTGGAAACTTTTCAAAGTATGTATGTGTTCAAACTTCCTTCTAAAAGAATACTTCTCATTGGCCGTGAATGTGGAGCTATTCCTTTTAAGTATTAAGTGGCTTGTTGATTTTTCTCTTAGCACCCTTTTCAGCTTATAGTCCTTTAAATGTTGCTAACAGGTTTCTTACTGGTGTCTGCAAGCTTCAGAGTTTTGCCATGGTTTCTCCACCAGTGTGGAAGTGCTGTGATTGAGTGGCAAGGTTACAGGTTTTGAAAACAAGCAAGACATTTGGATTCAAATCCTGACTTGGGAATTAAATATATTTGTGATAATATTAAGGCACATTGCTTAATCTCTAGAGCCTCAACTTTTCTCATCTTAATACAGATAATTTTTTTTTTTTTTTTAAAGACAGGGTTTTTCTGTGTAGCTCTGGCTGTTGTGGAACTCGCTCTGCTAGGCAGACCAGGCTGGCCTCAAACTCGCAGAGATCTGCCAGCCTCTGCCTCCAGAGTGCTGGGGTTAAAGGCATGTGCCACCACACCTGGCTGCTAGGTGTTTGAGACAGGGCCTCATGTAGCCCAGGCTGGCTGACGCTTGCACTATAACCTTCAGGGTCCTGTTTCTCCTTCCCTCCATTTTCCCAGAGTTGGGATTATATGTTAGCCATTTCCAGCTCCCTTTTCATTTTAAAGGAAATAGCGCTTGATTTTCAAAATGTCAGGATACACATTGGTCCTGTGATTCTTTTTTTTAAAAGAGTTATTTTTTTAAGATTTATATATTTATTTATTTATTTATTATGTATACAACATTCTGCTTCCATGTATAACAACACACTAGAAGAGGGCACCAGATCTCATTACAGATGGTTGTGAACCATCAATCATGTGGTTGCTGGGAATTGAATGCATGACCTCTGGAAGAGCAGTCAGTGCTCTTAACCACTGAGCCATCTCTCCAGCCCGGTCCTGTGATTCTTAAATCAGCTATCATAATGACTGCTCAAATTGCTGTTTTTTAATTTTGAATATAGATTCAGACCTTATTAAATCATAAGATCATTTTGGCTAGTCCTACAGTATTTGGAATTTCCAGCCTTTCATATGACTTGATTTCTTTCTCTGAAATAATAGGTATTTATCTTGTATTCCACAATGTATGCCAAGTAAGTAGATACCTCTGTTTCATGTTCTTTGGTAGTTACATTTCCGTCAATATTCCTAGACATTGAAGAAATGTCAGCCAGGCAGTGGTGGCACAAGCCTGTAATCCTAGCACTCCCTGGAGGCAGAGACGGATCTCTGTGAGTTCAAGGCCAGCCTGGTCTACAAGAGCTGGTTCCAGGACAGGCACCAAAACCTACAGAGAAACCCTGTCTCAAAAATCCCCCCCCCCCAAAAAAAATGTCAACTTTGTACGTAATACAGGGCTTTTGCCATTGACAATGGTGAAGTTTCTTAGTTTCTTTCTCTCTCTTTTACAAAAGGCATCTGTGTTTGAACCCTCATGCCACAATTGAAATTTGAAATAGAAATTTATGTCCTGGTAATGCTGAAGTGTGCAGGGGCAGCACGTATTGGGTTTCATGATCTAAGTTGATGAGGGTGACTGACCAGGTCTCTTCCTCAAGAGGGCACCAGATCTCATTACAGATGGTTGTGAGCCACCAGGTGGTTGCTGGGAGTTGAACTCAGGAGCTATGGAAGAGCAGGCAGCACTTTTAACCGCTGGGCCATCTCCGCGCCTGATCTGGTCTGGTCTCAGAAGCCTGGTTAGTAGTACATACATGCATATGTGAAAGTCAGAGGACCCTGAGTTCTGAGGATCAAACTCAGGATTCTAGGCTGTGTGGCAAGTGTCTATATTCTCTGAGCCATGTTTTTGGCCCCCTTAGTGTCTCTCTTAATTACAAAATATACAAACCACTAGAGGTTTTTTTAGCTTTAATATTAACTTTATGTATTTATAGTCAAGTGATATGCACAGTATATTTAGTTGTCCCTGATGCGGGCACTGATGGAGGAGTGCCCTCCCACATTCCTTTTTATTTTCATGTAATTGTTCTCTACTTTTCATTTTAATATCTTCTGGTAGATATTGAGTACATATTTTAGGAATGAATAGAAATTTCTTATTGTATTTATCCCCCCTATTTTTGTAAAGTGTTGCTTGGTTCAGGAGGGGTTTTGGAGCCATTATAGATTTGTTTCAGAGGGCAGAGACAGAACCTATGGTTGTTAACCTAAGATATTGCTAACCATTAAAATAGTTTATTAAAAATTGGTTATTTTTTTGGGAGTGGTGGTCCATTCCTTTAATTTCCAGCCCTTAGGAGACAGAGGTATGTGGATCTCCGAATTTGAGGCCAGCCTGGTCTACACAGACTTACCCGTTTCAAAAAACCAAAAAAGAAAAAAAAATTGCTATTTGACCTTATTTTGTTTGCATATTCATACAAACGAGGGTTTGAAGAGAATGATAATTTCACTCTGGCAGTGACAGTACTCATTTGCTTTTTGTTTTTTTAAAAAACGCATTTATTGTGGGTTTTTATGTGTGGGCATGGTCTAAGGTCAGAGGACAGCTTGAAGGAATTTGTTCTTTTCCTCTGTTACTTGGGTCCTGGAGATCAAACTTGGGATTGCCAGGCTTGGCAGCAAATACCTTTACTAGGTAAGCCATTTCGCCTGCTCCAGTACCCTTTTCTTTTTTTAAAAAAAGCATCTCTTGTGTAACACTTTCTGGGGAGATGTGAACCAGTGTCTACTTACTTCAGATAAGGAACTAACAGGCAGACCAAAGTAAGGATACCAGCAAAGTCCGGCTTAGTGAAGCACAGTGTTTTATGGGGTTACTTACAGGAGCAGAAATGACTCAAAAACCAGCTATTTGCAATTGATCTGAGCTTTTTCCAGATAACTCAGCTTGTCTGAGAGTCTTCTGGGCGGCTTAACTGTTCTCTTTCAGGAGTATTCAGTACTTAATTCCCTTGAAAAGGTAGGAGTTTAGGGTACCTGGTTAGTTCCAGGGACTTCTGAAGCTTTTGGATTGTTTATTTTCTGAGCTTCCTTACTGAATGGAATGTTCACCTCCCTTTAGAATGTTGTGTCTGAAGATCTTCTCTCCAACACAGAGGCTTACTTTGGAGGGAATTGTTGCACACTACCGTCTTTCTGTCTTCACCTCCTGAGTGCTGGGAATACAGGCATATGTCACCTCTGGTGTATAAAGTATTGGGGATCAAACCCAGGGCCTGTGCATGCTCGGCAAACACTCTCCTAATGGAGTTACATCTCTGGTCTCCGAATTCGCGTTTTCTTTATGAGTATGTTTTAGACTTGATTTTAGATATATTTATTGTACTTTATGTGTATGAGTGTTGTGCCTGAGTTTAATAATGTATATGCATCATGTTTGTGCCTGATGTCTAAGGAGGTCAGAGGAAGGTATCAGTCCCCTGGAACTGGCATTGCTGTTAAAGGGCCGTTTGACCTCTAAGGGCTCGTGACCCACAACTGGACTGATTTGTTTTGTAAAGGCCTTTCTTTTAATTCTTTTGGCTTTTATTTCTGAAACCCTTGGAAAATAAACATTAGAAAATACATTTATCATAGTGGTAGATGAATGAAGAGATCATTTGGTGTACAAGTTGAAGATTTCTGTTTCTCTAACCCTTTTTTACAAAGAGCATCACTTTTGAAATAAATAATAAAAATTTTGTTGTGGAACTTTAAAAAACATAAGTTTCTGGGGTTGAGGGTGTACTTCAGTGACAGTGTGCACGCAATGTGTACAAGACCCTAGAATCAATTCCCAGTGACAATTGCCTCAGTTAAGAGGCAATATGTAAGATCCACTATTGTTAACAGTTATACATCTGTTCAACTTTTAAGACAATTTGGAGACATTAAAAAATTTATATAAACGTTTCCTATATTGATAATATTTATGAGTATGAGTAAATAGTTATATTATACAGAATGTTTTATTAATGTTCTTAAAGCTTTTAAAAATACTATTTTATGTTTATGGGTGTTTTGCCTGCATGTATGTCTGTGGACCATGTGTGTGTCTGGTACTCAGAGAGACCAGAAAAAGGCTTTGGATCCCTTGGAACTGGGGTTATAGATGATTGTGAGCAACTGTGTAGGTACTCAGAATTGAACCCAGGTCCTCTGTAAGAGTAGTCAGTGCTCTTTAACCACTGAACCATCCCTCCAACCTTTACATTGTGCGTGTTTTTGTTGTTTTAAGCGGAAACCTAGGTTTGGCTTGAATAGCCACTTATTAATGAGCAGACAGAGTGGTGTGAGGTCTGGAGTGTAGCTTTCTTTGGTAGGAACTTGTGTAGACTGATACGTCAACAGTTATATTGAAGCTCTTTCTCTTGCCTGATTTTTGAGTGTGATGCTGAGGTACACCATTTCAAATAAGAAATTAGAGTTTGAGGGAGCATGCAGTATAGCAGGAGAGAGTCAGTACACAGAACAGGGCAGAGCTGTCAGAAGTGTCTGAAAGTAAGGAAATGATACCTGCTTGAGTGGAGATGGGGACTGTCCAGAGCTTAGTCAAATTTGATTGATTGCTTTGAATAGTGAGCAGAGCTGTGAAGATTGTGTTTTGGGCCATTAGAAAGAACTGGGGAAGATGAAGACAGTGCTCTTCCATGGGGAGAATAAAAGGTACAAGACTGGACAGATAATGATTGGACTAAATTCTGGAGAGGTTTGAATATAGGGATTAAAATTAGATAGCTGGAAAGTCCTTTAGGAGAGTTGTTCCAAAATACAATTAGAAAGAATTTGAAGGTTGGAGGGCCAGAGGTTAGAGGTTATTGCATTGCTGGCTTTATGAGGGTTTACTTCAAATATCTTCATATCCTTTCCTTGAAGTTTTTCTGGCAAGTTTCCTTTTCCTGTCATATTTGCCTGGCCACATGTGCTCTTGTGGTATAACCATATTGTTTCAACTGTCTTTTCTTTAAATTATTTTAATTTTCTTTAATTTAAGAAAATTTAATTTTAAATTTCTTTAAATTAGTGTCTAGGCCAGGGAAATGGCTCAGCAGGTAAAGGTGTTTACTGTCAAGTCTGACCACGTGGGCTCAATCCCTGAAACTCAGGCGGTAGAAGGAGAGAACTAACTTCTTTCTACGTGTTGTTATTTGCCCTTCGTAAGACACACACATATACCATGCACATAAAGTAAAAGTCTCATGAACTTCAATTTGCATATCCTTGTTAATCATAACATTACTCTGATCTGAATGCTGGATAACTAAGCAGCATATCTTTGGTAAAAGGTTTGCAGTAAATATTGACACCTTACCTTAGTTGAAATCAGTTGATTCATCATCTTAGGTCCTCCTGTTTCTGCTTTATTTACAAGTCAGCACGTTGTAGCTGACTTTTGAACTGGCTACCTTTCCTTCAACTAGTTCTGCAGTGAATATTGTGCCTTCTACTAAGCAGTGAAGGTTAAAGCATGTGTTTTCTTGCTGATACAAATCATTTATGTTTACTCTGAGCAACTAGAAAAAGGAAGGGAGATTTCTATGTGCGAAGAAGTGGTGCCCTGGCAGTGTTAGTGTTAGGACTTGGGAGAAGCCTTTGTAAAAATGTTTTGTTATAAATAGTAGTTAGGTCTGCAGGCTTTACTTTGAAAAGGTAGTTACATTTCAATTTTTTTCATTTGCATTTGTGCCATGTATTTGGAAAATATGCGTTTTTAATCTTAAAGAATTTACTCAACACATTTGCCTAGATTACAACTTTTTTGTAAGACAGAATGCAATTGTATTGTTCAGTTTCATTAGCTGAAAAGCAGTAGCTGAAAGCTAGGGAAGATTAAACCTTTGCAGCATAAGAAACAATGGTGAAAGACTTTCTGATCCTTTAAATATTTGCTTTTGTTGTTTTGATACTTGTAGAGCCGATCATCAGATGTGCATTCATCTGGATCAGATGCGCATGTAAGTATAAAAGATAGCATTTTTTGTTTTTCCTTAAAAATACAATTTTTCTTTATATATATGTGTGAGTTACACAGCAAATGAATACAATTATGTTGTGTGAATATTTAATTGTCTGCCTTTGTGTATTTGTTTGTTTGTTTGTTTTTTAAACAAACTCCTTCATTGTTGACTTAGATTTCTATCTCACCCGGTCCCACAGCTGTTCATTCCCAAAGAAACACACAGAGGTCGGCATTAATCATAAACTGGTAGGCCTGTTAGCTCAGGCTTCTTATTAACTCTTATAACTTACATTAGCCCGTTAGTTTTGTCTATGTTAGCCATGTGACTTGGTACCTTTTATCAGCAAGGCCTTCCTATCTTGCTTCCTCTGTGTCTGGATGACGACTGCAGACTGAACCTTTCCTCTTCCCAGAATTCTCCTGTTCTCATCGCACCGCCTCTACTTCCTGCCTGGTTGCCCCATCTATACCTCCTGTCTGGCTACTGGCCAGTCAGCATTTTATTAAAATACAAATAAAAATCTTTACAGGGTACCAGACCATTGTCTCATAGCACCTCATATTGCATTAGAAACTTGACATGTATTTTTTTATCTTTTATTGTGCTTATAAATGTATTTGTTTACATAATGATTACATTATATGCACCCTTTTCTTGGTGAACATTGTGCCTGTCTCTCGAAATCCCTGCAAGTCAGCTGGCATAGAGAGTGTTGATCAGTTCTTTCTCACGATATAATGTTCCACTATAGAAAGGTAGATGTATTTGTTTTCTTAGTGGGTATATGCCTTTTTTATTTAAAGCTTTTTGGCATTTTGAATACTGCAATGGCTATTTTTTCCCATGTTATAGCAATATTCAAAGTATGGTGTGCAGGCACCTCCTACAAGCTGTTGAGAACCTTTTGGGAGTATGTGAACTCAGAGCTATTTTATAAGGGGCATTGGGAGATGGCTCAGTAAGTAAAAAGTGCTCGTTACAGTATCTGTGTGAAAGCTGGGCATGGTGGTTTCTGTTTCATTTAACCTTTGTCCTGGGTGGACAGACAGGTGGTTGGATCCCTGGAGTACTCTGGCTAGCCAGCGTCTGAACTGTTGAGTTCTAGGTTCAGTGGGAGACCTAGCCTCAAATAATAAGGTGGCAAGGGACTAGGGAAGATACCTGACACTAACCTATGAACTCTAGATTCAAGCACAAACAAGTGCACATGTGCTCTTCCCCCATGCTTCATGTAGGCCCAAATAAAAAGCCTTTTGTAAAAATGCCAAGGCATTATTTGCCCTTCTGTTTGTGTTGACATTTTCACTGATGGTGCAGAAGCAACTGGTAGGCAAACTATTGGCACATTAGCATGAATCAAGGAAGTGACTCTAAAATAAGCTTGTATTCATTCCTATCACATACAGTAAAATATGTTAGTTTAAAATGTTTTAGAGGGTGAGCCTGGGTGGGAGCTATGCCTGTAACCCCAGGATAAAGCAAGAAAGAAGATCATGGAATCACGAAGTTGAAGCTGACCCACAATTTTAACAGACCTTGACTCAAAAAAGTATTGTTTTTAGTAAAGATTTAAAATTCTTAAGACTCGACTCATGTATGGGTCTTTTGTTTGCATATCCTCTGTGATGAAACAAGTATATATAAAGTCTGCTACTTCCTAGCGTATGATGTTTGTAGTAAGGGCGACTGAGTAAACTACTCTATAAAGTACCATTCTTACTTCATGGAATGCCTGACGTATAAACTTGTTATCTGACTTGGGTATTTTGACAGGTTATTCTCTTGAAAGAGAAGGAAAGAACCTGTTACTTCAAGAGTAACAAATATTTCCAATATAATATTTGAGCTTTCAAGGGCAAGTCAGAGTTTTTAAAAAACTCTTTAAGGAATTTACTTGTAACATGATGTTGTTAATAATGTGTTTTTAGATAACCTAGTGAAATTTGTCAATATATAGACACTTTGGATTAATTCTAGTTTTTAGTACTATGATGTTATTTTTGAAATCATTTTTAAAACTTTATCTGAAGATGGATGCATCTGGACCCTCAGATAGTGATATGCCAAGTCGAACACGACCTAAAAGCCCAAGAAAACACAATTATAGGAATGAAAGTACCCGTGAAAGCCTTTGTGATTCTCCTCATCAGAATCTTTCAAGAGTGAGTATTGCTAAAGCTGACAAAGGATGGCTAACACTTTTACTTTGTCCTTGACTGAGTATGATGGTTTGTACTTGTTTCATTTTATACTATTTGAAATTAATATTTTTATTAACAATAAACTCCCATTTAGTTAAAGACAAATCTGTAGTTTATATTAGATGTTTCATTGAAGATGTTTAATTTTATTTGGAAAGTAAACATTAGCTATAAAGTGGTTATTGTCATGTTTATTGAGCTACTAGGCATATTCAGCCAATTAAGACAGTCCTTGATCTGGTGAAATTGTTAAGTAGGTAAATGCTGGCTGTGCAAGCCTAGACTCAGGTTAGACCCCTAGAACCCACGCATAGGTGGATGGAGAGAAATGACTTTACAAAGGTGTTCTCTGACCCCCACAGACATTCATTGGTGTGCATACCACCTACCCACAACGTGAACATATACACAATATAAAAAGGTGCGGTCCTTGTGTTGTACGAGCTTATGTTCTCTCTGAAAACAAATAGTACTAGATATTAGTCATTTGGGTAAGTGGAGTCCTGGGACAATAAGGAACACAGAAAGAGGTTCTCTTCTGTGTGTGTATATGTGTGTGTGTGTGCAGGTGCAAGTAGAGGCCACTGGTCAACATTGGGCATGTTTCTCAGTCACTCCACCTTGTATATTGTGAACCAAGGTTCCTTATTGAATCTAGAGCTCCACTTCCATTCTGCAAGCCTGGCTAACCATTGAACCTCAGACACACAGTGCTGGGGTTATAGACACATAGCCACTACCACTGGCTTTTTTGCATAGGTTCTGGGGATCCATATAGGTTCTCATTGATGTAGACATTGCACTGACTGAGTTATCCCCCATGCCCTTGAGAAATGGGTTCTTTACTACAAAGCATCCCTGAGTCTTTTAGTTTTTAAAAATCTGTTTAAAGTAATTTTTCTTGAGGTAGGTATTTAAGTTAGTGGTGGCATACTTGCCTAGCATGTATGAGGCCCTATATTCAATTCCTGTCCCTATTTTTAAAAAGCGTACAACTTATTTTTTCTCTTGAAAAAGTTCAGAAGATATTAAGGCATCAGCCAGCATTAAACCCTAAACCTTGATCAAGGTTTTTTTTTTTTTTTTTTTTTCTTTTTTTGGGGGGGGGGGGTTCTTCGTGGCGGGGTTGCTCTGTGACTTTGGAGTCTGTCCTGGAACTCACTCTGTAGACCAGGCTGGCCTTGAACTCAAAGAGATCTGCTTGCCTCTGCTTCCTAAGTGCTGGGATTAAAGTCGTGTGCCACCACCACCCGGAACTTTTTTTACTTTTTAAAAAAAGACAGGTTCTGAGTCTCTATGCAGTCCTTTATGTACTGGAACTCTCAAGGTAGACCAGGATGGCCTTGAATTAGGGATTCACAGTGCTGGGATTAAAGACATGCTCTGAAACATCCAGTTTGATCATATATTTTTAAATTTTTTTAAGCATAAATATATTTTTACTTTTCTGAGATACATTTCGTAGGAATACATCTTAAAATAGCATATTATCCCAGTATTTTTATTTCAGAAAAAAACCTAACTTTTACATAAATGATTATATTGTTTCTTTGAGAAACACTCAGTAATTTTCTGTGCCATTTTGTGTTCTGGATACCTAAATCTAGCTTGTATTTTGTTCTTTCCTTCCCTTTCTTCCTTCTACCCCTCACCACCCCAGGGGGGATTCAAGACAGGGTTTTTCTGTAGTCCCAACTGTCCTGGAACTTGCTTTGTAGATCAGGCTGGCCTCGAACTCAGATCTGCCTGCCTCTGCCTCCCGAGTGCTGGGCGGACTAAAAAAACATATGCCATCATTCCCAGCCACAAATTTTGTTTCTTAAAATTTTGTTTTTTCCTTGAATTTCTGTGTAATTTTTGTTTGTTTAAACCTTTTAAGCAAACTCCAATGGCCTTGAATGATGGCAAGACAGTTTTCTTTAATTTTTGAGGAAAAGGTGACTTTTGAATCTGTTTAAAAAATTGACTTTTGAGGCTGAAGAGATGGCTGTGTGGTTAAGAGCACTTGCCTCCTTTTGCCAAGGACCCGGGTTTAGTTCCACAGGTGGCTCACAAACATCTGTATATTTCCAGGGGATCTGACACTCTCTTCTGATCTCATTGTGCAGCAGGCACACATGTAGTACACAAGCAGATATGCAAGCAGAACATTCATAAAATAAATAAAAATCTTGAGAGAGATTGCTTGATTGTCTTTTGTATTACTCACTGCTTATCTTTCCCAGATACAGTCTTGATGTAACTTCAGTGAGTGGCCTCAATGTTTCTCTTCTGTACGAATTTTCAAAGTAATTTAGTTATTTAACTTTTCATTTTAATAAGAAAGAGAAACACTTCAGATTTCAGTATTTTAGGTTGTATTTAATTAACAATCCTACCCTTTAAGTTTGTGAATCAAATGAGTAACATGGAACAACTGAAGGCCTATCGACTGTTTAAACCAGATTTCAGAAGGCATCTGCTTCTAAATTGTACACAAGAAGGCTTTATTAAAATACTGTTCCCTCGGACTGGCTAGGTGGCTCAAGTTGTAAGGATACTTGCCACCAAACCTGACCCACCCAAGTTTGCTCCTTGGGACCTACATAGTGGATGAAGAGAACCAGCTTTCTTAAGTTGTTCTTTGGCCTTCACACACATGCTTTGGTACATGCACTCTGTCACATGCAAACACAAAAATAAATAAAATGTACTAAAATTTTAAAAAATGTTTTCTCTTAAAAACTGAGAATTTCATATGTATATATGTGTTTTAATCAAATCCAATCTCCATTCTTCCCTTTTCAATTCCTCTCACATCTCCTTTCCCTCCCAACTTTTTGCTCTTTTTCTTAATTCTTGAAATTTTAATTAAAATAAATTACATTATTTCCCCTTTCCTCCCTCCAACCCTTCCTGTGTCCCCACCTCCTGACTCCTCAAATTCATGTCCCCTTTTTCTTTGATTATTACTGTTTTACACACGCCACTTGCTGAGTTGGTTTTAGTGTTGCTTATGTGTATATGATTTCAGGGCTGATCTCTTGGTATTGTATAACTGGTTGTGGACCTCATTCCTGGGGAAACCTAATTTTCCCTTTCAGCAGTCTTTAGTTTCCCGTCTTCTCTCGAGGTAGGGCCCCTGGAGATTTCCCTCTTCCACTTAAGATGTTTGTTGGTGGTGTTATTATTTGAGTCTGTTTAGGCAGCCAATTTGTTAGGGTATCATGGGTATGGCTTCATTTATTTTTAGGAGATAATCTCAAAGCAGACTTGCTGGTCTCTGGCTCTGAAGTCTCTTCCTCCAGTTGTGTTTTAGGTATATTCCTTGGGTTTGGGCACCTTACAGTCAGTTGTTCCTATATTTTGAACAGCGGGAGTTTTCTGTGGTGGTCTCTGACTGCTGCAAAAAGAAGCTTCTTTAAGGGGTGAGAGCTTCATTTATCAGGCAGAGGCACCTCCCACCCCCTTCCATATCTGGAGCTAGCTAAACCTGTGGGTGTGGAGATGTCAGTGGGCAAACAAAAGGATGGAGGAGGGAAGGATGGCTTCCACTTTTTCTTTTTTAAACCCACTGGGTCTCAATGCTGCCAGATACGGTGTTCTTATAACAGTTGAGTAACTCATCTGCTTAGCATGAGAAGTGTTTTAGATTTTGGAATTTTATTTTTTATTTTATTTTTAGGTTTTGCTTTTGGAATATTTTCTTATACCTGAGTTATCTTGGTCATAGGACTAAAGTCTAAACATAAAATCCATCTCTGTTTTGTATATATCTTATACATACAGCCCAAAGGTAATTTGTTACACAGTATTTTGCAACTAGCTTTTGACTGCAACCTGTTCCTTGAGATCAGGTGTGGAACCTTCCACTTGTGGTATGGAGATTTTGATTTTCAGATTGTTCATTTGTTGTTCAAAAATTATTGATAGAGTTTTATATATACTGACAACTGAAATTTGTAGTAGATGGTACATTCCCAGCAAAGAAAATGAAATTATGTTAATATCAATATTTTTGATAAATAAGGTGCTTAGTCAGGTTATAAAAGGGTGTGATGTGATACCTGAATTGGAACTTACAGATGGCTTTCTGAGAGTGGAAATTTATGACCCTCTCACTTGAGGATCCGTTTTCTGTCATTGCTACTTTTCCTAAAGATGTCTATATTTTCCCTCTATGCTTTTGTTTTTGTTTTAAGCCTTGGTGTTGTGGAATCTTAGTTTAAGATGTGTTACATTCGTTTATGATGTGGAATATTTGTTTAGTTTAATGATGCAAAGATGTGTTGCATTCTTTTTCCTTACATTTGTTTAACTTTTTGCCTGCCTGTTGATCTAATAAAGAGTTGAATGACCAATGTAGGCAGGAGAGAGAAATAGGTGGGGCTGGTGGGCAGAGAGAATAAATAGAAATCTAGGGAAGAAGAGCCAAGAGTGGGAAAGGAGAAGAGGGTGCCAGGGGCCAGCCATGGAGTAAGAAGGAAAGAAGGATCTATAGAAAGGTAAAAAGCCCAGAGGCAAAACGTAGTTAAAGAGGAGCTGAATAATTTAAGTTAGAAAAGCTGACTAGAAACAAGCCAAGCTAAAGGCGGGGCGTTCATAACTGTGTATTTATTTGGGAGCTGGGTGGTAGGCCCCCAAAGAGTAAAAAAAACAACTACACTTTGATTTTTGTTGCTTTACTATTTTAATCTCCTTTTCTGCTTAAAAAAGCCTTTTGCCTCTTAATGACTTCGAGTTAGAAAATAATAAACATTCCTCAATGAGTGGGTATTTACAGATCCAGCCTGAGATAGCATCTGCTTGGAGTAACACTAGCTTTTTTTTGCATTGATACTTTAAAACAGTAACTCTTTAAAGACTTGGTTGTCAATTCAAATGTGTTAAATTCATAGGTAATGTTAAAATTTGTATGTAAAGACAATCTTTTTGTTTCTTTTCATAGCCTCTTCTAGAAAACAAGCTTAAAGCATTCAGTATTGGAAAAATGAGCACAGCAAAGCGAACTTTAAGTAAGAAGGAACAAGAGGAACTGAAGAAAAAGGTAATGTTTGAAGTGTATTTTAGGTTATACTTGGAAATGATTGTGTAAGGGAGCAGTAGAAGCCATGTCTCCTGAAGAGTTCTACTTCTTAGATGTTTGCAACTCCACACACACACACACACACACACACACACACACACACACACACACACAGGGATGTTCAGATGAGCTCAGCTTCTCTGCCTGTCCTCTGATCTATAGCTCTATGTGATGATTAGTTATCTTTGATGTGTTCTTTTTGTCAAAGTGTGAGTAAGTGTGTGTTTGTGTGTATGTACTGTATCATCCCATTTCCCTTGATGAATGATAACATGCTGTAGAATGAGAGTACTTAACTTCATTTACCTTTTTAACCAAATGTTATCTTTGGACTACTTGTAGGTTAGAAAAATTATAGTACAAATGCTTTTATGAATAGGTACTTTTTGGTTTTTTTTCTAGTTTACCTTTTGGGACTCCTGAAAGAGGAGATTGTTTGAGTGAATGGTATTTTAGTAAAAGTAAGGGCCCCAGCCCATACGCTTGCATGTGCTGAATCCTATTGACGGGGTCTTTGCCAGTCTGTAGTGTGGAAATAATACCTCAATGTAGTGTTGACTTTGCAGTTCTTTCAGTGGGAATAAAGTTGTATTTTTTTATTTTCCTTCTGGTTTATTCTTGTAAAACCTGTTATAATCAGTTGTCAGTCTTCCCCATGATTTCTTGTTATTAACCTAATTGTTTTCCATTTCTGGCTTATAGAATTTCCCTGTATTTTCTTCTAGAATCTGCATTCTTAGGAGAATCCCAAGGATTGTTTCCATTTTTAGGAAATTTTAATCTTTATGCAGTTTTTCCTGACATATAACACAAATAATTGATTTCATTTTATCTCTTTTTAAAGAGTTGTTATGCAGTTTCATTTATGGGAAAGTCCATGTATCTCCTGACACTAGTCACTCCTTTTACTGATATATTTACCCTTTCTTGAGTACAATTTTCTACTTGTTATTGGATGTATTTCTTTCTTGATTTGTTCCATTCTTCTGTTTGATTTGGGTTTTTGAGGTAGATTCTCACTATGCAGCTCAGGCTGGTCAGGAACTCTGTCTTCCTGCTTTCACCTCTGAAGTTATAGGCGTGCATGACCATACCCTGCCTGGTATTCATACATATACATTGGGGACATTTAGATGATGTACAGCTGAGAAAGTTAGTTCCTCTAGCTTTTTCTTTAATGCCAGGTTAGAAATAAATAAGCACTGTGTCTTTGCTTCTATTGTATCTTCAGTTATTTGAGAATGAAATTTTTATATTTGATGAATTAAGTCATCATACTTTGGAAGACTTCTTAAATAGTAATAGGTTAATATGTTTTTATTCAGTCATTTGACTCTTGAACTGTCTTTATATACATTTACTTGTTTACCCATATGTGGTGAGTTACTTTCTGCTTCTCTAAATTTCAAGTAAAGGAGCAAAGCCTTATGTTCTAAATGTTTAGCATATAATTTTTAGTAATAGCCAAAGTCTACCAAGTTGTAGATATTAGAATTATTTGGGAAAGAAGAGGCTTTGATTATGTAATTTCCTTTTGTTTTTCTTTTTTATGTGTATGAGTGTTTTCCTGCTTATATATTTTTGTGCCCTTTGTGTGCCTGGTCCCAGAGACTTCAGAAGAGGGAGTTGATCCCCAAGGACTGGAGTTACAGATGGTTGTGAGCTGTCATGTGGGTGCTGGAACCTAGGTCCTCAGGAAGACCTTTTATCCTAGCATTTGGCAGGTGAAAGCGGGCAGATCTCTGTTCAAAACTAGTCTGGTCTACATATTGAGTTCAGGTCTGCCTGGGCTACACAGTGAGATCTTGTCTCAAAACCAAAACCAAAAAACAAGTCGCATCCACACAGCAATTTTTATGTCACTAATATTTGGTTATGTATTTAGGAGGATGAAAAGGCAGCTGCTGAAATTTATGAGGAATTTCTTGCTGCTTTTGAAGGAAGTGATGGTAATAAAGTGAAAACATTTGTTCGAGGCGGGGTTGTTAATGCAGCTAAAGGTAAGTTCAGAGATGGAGACTGAACAAAGCTTGGATGGCGCAGCAGCACGTTAGTTACGGAAGACTCAGTTTCACATTCCTCTTTCTATTAGCACCCTCTAGTGGTTAAATTAACTAGCAAACTAAATTCCCAAATACGGAGTAATGAAGAGATACTAAATGTGATTAACAGGACTGTATGAAGCAGTTGATAAAAAAACTTACTGCCAAGCTTTAAAAAAAAAGCACATTATATTGCAGAAAATTTAATCTTTCATAGTTTTGCTATAAAGGATTAAACTGTGGCTGGTAGAGTGGTAATAATGTAAATTTAATTTCACATTCAAACCTTAATATTAAAAACATCTTAATTTTCTTCTTAAATAAAAATAGCAAAAACAAAAATTATATGAAATTAGTTTTACAACTTAGCATTTTAAATTTCAGATGAACATGAAACAGATGAAAAAAGAGGTAAAATCTATAAGCCATCTTCAAGATTTGCAGATCAAAAAAATCCTCCAAATCAGTCATCCAATGAAAGGCCACCATCTCTTCTTGTGATTGAAACGAAAAAACCTGTAAGTAATTATTAATAATCGAGCATTCATTTTAGAAGCTGGCATTGTCATTAGTATTTTGAGTGATTCTCTACAAGAAATTTTTTTATGGTTTATAAGTCTTGGAGTAGGTGTTGTGTTTTGGTGTTGTCTAACTCAGTAACTCATGGAGATGAGAGATGGTAGATTAGGTTAGGACATGGCAATAGTACATGTTGAACATTTGCTACTGTATTCATATTATATATTGCAAGTCAAAAATTTTGTTGTAAATGTAGGGTAATATTCTTTTAAACAATTCTGAACTAAGAACCTAAAATTATTAGCAACATGTACATGTTTCTTAGGATGGTTTTAGAACTTCTTAGGGATTACTATCAGAGCTGATATCTTTTAATTTCTCATTATAGAGTTTTTCATTCATTGGGAATAGGAGTCACTTGGAGCCACATTTAGCTAACTAAATATGATACATTAAATAGTGATGTAATTGATTTTTTTCTCTTGAGTAGTTGTTAAGATAGCACTGAAAGCAATTAAAATGTAACAGCTTTATTGCTATGTAATTCACACGCCTTAAAATTTGCTTTAAACTTATATAATTAGGTGGATTCTTAGTATATTCACAGTTTTTCAAAAATTGCTATTTTGCAATTCTAGAAGATTTTTATCACTGCCAAAAAAAACCATAAATTTGCTTAATCTTCTTTGTTTCAACTATAACTTATCATATTCTTCATAGCCACTGAAGAAAGGGGAGAAAGAAAAGAAAAAAAGCAATTTGGAACTTTTCAAAGAAGAACTAAAACAGTAAGTTTTATAGGGAGAATTCTCTATGATAGGCATACTGGACTGATAATTAGAGATGTCGGTATGTGTACTAGTTCTTATCAGCTGGCTTGCAAGTGAGCTTGCTCTAGCAACAGTGGATGGA